TATCAAAACATTGATAGAAAGTCTTCCCACATCTCACTTAGAGGCAGACATTGATGAAATAATATGCATAAATGAAGCCATTGATGAAATTCATAAAATGTTCAATAAGGAACATCAAGTACGAGTGGACCAAGCATCACTTGTAGTGCTGCCGAAGAAAGACTGTCCAACGGACATGCTCTTGTTGCAGCAGGACAATTCAATAGGATAGTCGCAAACAATGCAGAAGGGTGTGACAGTCCCAAGCAAGTTGCATACCTAAACATGCAAAAACTCCTTACTACCGCCACATCAAAATCCAGAACCATCCTGGAGCTGGGATTATTTTCCGAACATAGTGAATCCTGCTTATTATTAATGTAACTACTAATAAACCATATGCTCTCGAAGATTGCACATACTACACATATATATCTATAACCCTTTCACTTGATTCGCATCTAAGCATCGGCTAGAGCAGGCGGCAAATGATTAAAGCTGCCGAAACATTGGCAGTTCCAGCCAGGAAATAATAGCACTTTCGAACATTCATTCTTCATCAGGAGATTCCTGATCCTCTGGACGATGCGTGTGAAATAGTGATTTACTGTGAAAAGAAATACGCTATAAACTATTGTCACGTTCAATCCTATTACTTGACAGGTTATGGATATTTGTTATGCTCTTGAACGAACATTACTGGTCTTGGCTGCGTCGTGGTCTTGGCACGTGTTGCAGCTACCTTTAATAATAAGTCGTGTGAATGAGCACGAGCCTAAGATTGAGGTTAGAGGAAATGCGCGCCGCTGAATGGTGCGAAACTTCTGGATACTAAATGCTTGTAGGTCCGTTTTCTGAATAGGCCGTGAGGAGAAGAATGAACACTAATGCAGGTTTACTTGGAGCTGTAGTGTTATATTCCTTATTTCTCCTCACGGGTGTGAAAGTAAACTACTGACACTTGAACTTTCCTTGTCTCTCTTTCATGAGAGAATAGGAATCTCTTCTTTGAGCATTACTTGCTTGGCGAGATTATCTGTATCTGTGGTCACTAATCACAGAATGAAAGCAATTTTTACAAGACACTTTTCCTCCTTGTTGGGTATAGCATATGCTGTTGTCAAACCCAGCTTCATTTTTTCCACTTCCTTCCGGGTTTAGCTTTGAATGTGCTAAAATCGGGAAAGTATCTAAAATGGGCAGAGGGCGTCTCCTATTGATCTTCTCTACCTTCTCTGGTACTTATCAATATGGGAGGTCCTTTGGGAGCGTTGTCGATTGGCTAGCGTCGATTGGCAAGATTCGGCGGAGTCGAGAACAATGTATGCATTGTCTTAAGATGCCCACTGCGCACGTACGCCGATTGCCCGATATCACACGTGCTGGGGTTTTCGGTTGCAGTGAAAAGGAGGAAACGTTTTTATGGTCAAGAGTTTTACGTACATCTGGTACTTCCAATTGTTCTAGTATAAGCAGAGCCGGCGCGTTCGTGCCAGTAAACAGTTGGATCATTAACGCGTCAAACAATGAACGTATTGGCAATGCTAAGTAACTAGCATAACTGATTTTCGGGGTTTTCCAGATGTACTGACCTGTTCGAGTCTCCGACGTCAGTGAGAGGGTTTTCTTCATGCTTTATGATTGAGGTTAATCACTTTTTAGCTTGATACAAAAAGAGCAGGAGTTTTATTGAAGACTAACGACAATTTAAAGATGTTTTGCCAGATGTTTTAATGCATTTAAAAACGACTTACAATATCAAACACTATTCATTGTTTCCATCTACCTAAACGGTCGTGTGGATATATAAGGCAAACATGCGACGTGCCTTGCTCTCTCTTAGTGAAGGCCCTACGACACGGAACATTATCAACTGAGAATCGTTATAGTGTAATTGTAAATAAATGCAACAAACAGAACGAAAACGGACCTGTTAATTACGGAATAAAGGACTGCCCTTTCCACTAATCCAACCAGGATGGCCCCTGTACTACCGGATGACTGGAATTCTAACAGATAGCGATTATACATATAAACATATATGTATAAAAATATATCGAGTAAAGAGATAAATTGTAAAATCACAATTTTTGGTATAATATTTTACCAAAATTTGGTAATAAAATACCATGTGATTTAATTTATATTTAATTTATTAAATATTCCATCTGACAATTATTTATATTTAATTCAAATTCTTTTTAAATGTTCACCTATACAGATAATATAAAAACGAGAAAAAGGATTACCATTAAAATTTGTAAAAAAAATTTTCAATTATATTATACAAATTGACTTATTCATTTAATCTTTTATCAAATATGTTTTCAATTATGATAACTACTTTAAATTCGATTTTCTAATTGTCTTTTACTCTATCCCTTTGTTTATATACATATATGTGAAGATTTATAAATTTCCTTTAATTTAAATATTATAAAATATATATTTAAAATGGAATTTACATATTCTCATAATTTAATTTTTAAAAATACCTGCTTTAATTTCTTGTCTAAATATCATAGCTGATGGAAGAGATATTGTTCGTTTATAGGGCCATTTAGTTCCAAAACTTGCACTTATGGATTTCATTGAAGAATTATTTTCATCGTAATTAGATAATACTTCATACGCTCTTTGAATTTTTTTCATGAATATTTTATTATCTAGATCTATATTTTTCAAATCTATAATACATAATATTATATTAATACTATACATATTTTATTTATATATTAATTTTATTTACAATAAATTAAATATTAATTAAATATGTTATTCATCGACACTATTGATAAAATAAAAACTATTTTTATTTTGTATTCATAAAAATGAAACATTTTTAATTAATTTACAATTAAAATGATTAACTTCATGATCAATTTTATTTTAAACAATGTTAGCGATCTCGTTAGTTAACACTGTTTAATAATTACGATACGTTCGGACATAGACCATTTTTCCTACGGTTCTCGAAAATTTTATAAGCCAACTAGTTCTTCGTAAACATTGCATTTGTAAACATTTAACACCTTGAATTCTCGAAGCTTCTATAGCTTATTCACGAACGTCCTACATTTTTTATCTAGTCTCTGCATAGAAACTTCGATTGAATTCTCCAATCTTCCAAGGCTTTGCTTTTGCCGAATTCTCGAATAGTCCAAAGCTAATATTCTCGAACGTTGTGCAAGTCCGCCTAGTCTCCGCATAGCAACGCCTTAGCATTGTTGCCAGCTAACTTAGCTGCCGCGTGGATATTTAAGGAAGCGCACATCGAGACGCGTTTATTTACTCATCTTAGTCAGTCATCTACGCTTCAGCCATGCTATTAAGCAGGAGACTACAGCCGAGAGCTCGTCATACGATCACGCTTTCTCAGTGCAGCCATTGTAAGGATTACACGTTCAATTCTCCAGTGTGCAACAGTTAACAACCACTCAACGGTGCTGACTGCAGTACACGTAAATAGTCGACTATAAGAAACATGATATCGGACCACTCCTTCTCACGAAGGTATACTGATCAGGATTCGAGCACTTTCCAAGAAAATTAATTCTTCGAAATTTATAATCTTTCTATCTCACAAAATCGTAATTATTGATTCCGAAATTTCTTGTTCATTTTAAAGCCTTTGCTTGCGAACGTCCTGTAATGCTTATATAGTCTCCGCATAGCAACAACTATAAGAATTCTCCAAACGTTTAAAACTTGCTTTCCTTGAATTCATGAAACTTCTAAAGCTTCATGAAAGCTACATCAAGAGACTCGCATTTAAAACAGCGTACGAGGCACTATACAAGGAGTGTCAAGAATTTCCGCCCTATCAGTGTACGACTTATCAGTGTAGTAATTTTCCACCAAACGTACTCCACCCAAAGGAACCGGAAATTTACAACTTCAAACCTCGACTTGCAGTGCACGCTACCTCCAAGTGGAAAAGCCACTAAAGAACGGCAAAATCTCAACAATTCTTACCACCAACGTAGAATCATAATTGTGTATTTGTAAATTAGTACTCAGTAAATAGCACGAAAAGCAATTGTGTTGATTACTGAATTGAAGCATTAACCTCTCACTTATTCACACCGTTCCACCAGTAAAATGGTTGACATAGTCTAATCCAACCATATTGGTCCTTAGACCACCGGGTGATTGGAATTCCGAACATATACCAGTAGTCTCTATTCCATACTCCCTTCATGAGTATGGTCGTTCCTCCCGGCTAATCATTATTACATTAGCACAGATCACAAAACCAAGCTATATTCCCTTTCAAGGAATATACATAAGTCAGTAAAACACCATCTTAGACGCACCATCGGAGAAACCTTGCTCACCTTTGAAGAGCTTACTACGCTGCTTGCCCAAATCGAAGCCATCCTCAATTCTAGACCCTTAGAAACATTGAGCAAAGATCCAGAAGATACTACAGCACACACCCCTGGGTACTTCCTAACAGAACGTCCACTCACAGCCCTCCCCGAACCATCATTCACGGAAGTACATGTGTGAATACTGTCGCGGTGGCAGTACATTCAACAACTTTTTAATAAATCTTTTTAATAAATTTAAAAATCTTATGAAACAAAAATATTTTAATAGCTTTGATCTTTGATATTAACAATAACTTTAGTAGGAAATTATACTATTTTTAAATTTTCACTAATCTTAAACATTAATTAGACTACATTATTGAATTTAAAAAATAACAGTAATACTTACTGCACTGTACATATTTATATAAATATATATCTTGGATCAAATTTTTTTTTTTAATACAATATTCTTAAATATATTTGATAGAAAAAACATATTTTTATTATATTTACACATTAAAAATACCAAAATATACCTTTAAAATTATTTGTATCTCCTATTTTTTCAAAAGCTATTTGAGCTTCGATAAATAATGTATCAAACCGATTAATAAAAAATTCCCAACTTAAAATACGTCTATCACACATACAGTTATGTAGTTGATAAAGTGATTGAAGTATAATAGGTCTATCAATAATAACTAAATCAAATTGCGTCTCCATACACATAACTATCGTCTGAAATAAAAAATTATAATTTTTAGAATATTAGATGTTTTTAAAATTAATAAAATGTAAATAAGATTCAGTTTAGCTTGTGTTACTTAATAAAATACATTTAATAATATTTCTAAATTGAGGAGCTTGAACAAATTTTACAATAGCCTTTACTTTAATTTATTTTATTTTATAGACATAATAATTTTATAGACATAGTTAATTTTTTAATTCAATAGTGATCTTATTAAAAATTAAACAATAATTCTAATAAAATATTATATGAAGAATACAGTAATTACCTAATACTTTTGATTCATAATTAAAAATTAATTTTTTTAATTGTATATATTATATATACTTCACAACTTAATATTAAAAAAATGTAATTTATATTTTCTGTTTTCATAAAAACAATATTATCCTAGTGATTATCTACTTATGATAATAAATAGTTACACAATATAAAAATTAAATTACAATTCTGTTCGAGAATGCAAGGCCCTTTCCTTTTTTGTCAGTGCAATAAAACATCTGGCAAGTAATATCATAAAATTATATTTCGATTTCAAAATTTGCTTGCTAAAAATTATCAAGTACTAGTATCATAAAACATCTGGAAAAACAATACCATAAACACGGGAAAACCCATAGTTAGACATCTGCATTTTCGTTCCGTTCGGTAACTACTTCAAGCACTACTGCAAGCGGACCTTCTTTCTCCTTCAGCGATGCCCCCCCCCCTTTCCGATGCTGCTGCATGCTGTCGCATGCGAAAGCAGCGACGAGAGGTCTGTTTGTCATGAAGACCAAGAGACGACTAGGCCCTTAATTAACTCCGAAGCCATAAGAGGCGCTGCCCTAGCACTATAAGCGAGGAATCTCTGATTGGACGAAAATTAAGGGAAGGGGTTCAAGTCAAATTCATAGTCAGCAAATGTATTTAACGGGCGCAATTTTCAATACTCATCACTCTTGATAATTTTTCACTTAGTAGTATTCTCTTGATATTACTCTCTTGAACTGTCTCTCTTGAAATCTCTTTCTTAGTAGTATACATTTGATATTTCTCTTTTAGTAATACTCTCTCAATATAATATACCCTCGCATTAACGCAGTTCAAGAACCGTCGTAACATGTTCAAAAGGAGCGACGACTTACACTTCTTCGGATTGTGCATTAACATGTTCAATCAACCGTAGTTACACGTCCCAGAAGAATGACGACAGAAACCCGTATGTCCACTAACGCAGTTCAAGAATCCGTCGATACATGTTCAAAGGGAGCGACGACAATCCGCATATCAGAGTCCGGAGACGAGTCAACGATTAGTCTTCGTAAGTAGTATTATTACTGCAATAATTACATATATATTGAGATTCAGAGTATTACATCGACAAGCACTAAGGACGAGGAACCTCCTCTTAAAACGACAGTGCGGAATAAATTCCAGTACACATCGTCAAGTTCGCGCCCGCAAAAGGGGCGTCCCTTACGGCAACCCTTACCTTAGTTTAAGTTCGGAAGCTTATGAAATTAAGCAACACACGGCGCAAGTGTCGACAAATCCAGTTCCGCGCCACTCTGCGGTAACTTTCAGTCATTATGCTGCATCATAACCTCAACCACACACGTGCTCATTCAAACAGCCCTAGTGTCGACGAACGAAACTTCGCGCCGTACGTCATTCGTATTCAACAATCAAGCTGCATAGATTATTGGACGTTTACCTCCGCAACACGTTAATTCCACCCAAGAGTTGATTTATAATTAATAATATTAATAATAGTCAGCCTTTTCAACAATAAATAACAGAATAAAAAAGTAAATACTTCAGTCACATTTATATTGTATTATTATAATATCCCTTCCACTTGTGACCTTTCATCGTTACCACACAACACACGTGATCTCCGAGTTGTCAACGGCATCAAATTGTATCCGTCGAACCGGTCTTGATAAAACAAGTCGGAACAACGAGTTGCATTTTGTACACAGACTAAAGCTCTTTAAAGTAATTTAAAAAATTTTTTTAAGAGTGAAATTTAGCTAAGGCATTTTTTAAATGAAGGAATTTGTGAACTTAAGAAAAATATGATGATGATTAATCTTTATACAATATTTTATCATATATTTTAGTAACTAATATTATGTTTTATAATTTTAATTATTCCAGTATAATTTTGTGTACTTACTTTAATTGCAGTGTCATGAATTGTACCAAGATATAAGGTTGCTTTTTGAGCAACATACACATTATTATCATCCATGCTATTAATAAGATAACAAAATATATTTGCTATTGATGTTTGCAATGAAAATATGTTTTTTAGTGGTGTTGTATCCATAAATCTTGAAATTAATGTAACGCGTTCAACTATAAGGAAATATCAGTTTTTGTATAAAATAATCATTAATTTGAGTGAGTAAAATTCAGTGTACTTATAAAAAATTGAATTTTTAACCTTTTATATAAAATATGCAAATATATAAAAATGTATTAAGTTACTACTATACAATATTTCATATAGAAATTTCAAAAATATACGCAACATACATTTATATTAGTGATTCAGAGGTATCTGTACAAAATGTATTCGCCGTTCCTGTTTGTTTTAC